TGACCCAACAGCAAGGCAAAGGTGCACATTCCAGCCTTTATGACGATGCTGTACAGGTATATCTCATGTCTGTGAGGCAAATATTCAGCTGTTTGTTCTGCTGTTACCCCAGAACTTTTTTTTCTGATGTGTTTACGAGTTAGGCACAGAATGAACAAGTATTCCCTGTCTGCTTTACAAATTTTAGAAAAAACATTTTGTCATAATTATGATTATAAATGAATAAAATAGGCCATTTACAGCTTTCAAATCTGTGTCTTATCAATATGACTCACTGCCAGAATGACCACTCAATCAAGACTGCCATTTGCGGAAGCTATCCAGGCCCTTTCGGTCCTCCACCAACAACAACATGAGACGCTGGTGGAACTGAAGAACATCCAGGAACAGCGTTTCCAAGAAGGCTTGGACGGTATCTAAATTTTGATACCGTCAAACCGCCTCCATATATTACCCTGGTATCCGGTATTACTGGCGTAATAAAAAAAATTATGACGTAAGGCTCAGACAGCATTACTAAACTGTTAGCTTGTGCCTAAACCATTCAGAAACTGAATACCTTATATGCGACCTTAGGCTCGCGGTCACCTGTTTGTCTTGTTTGTATTCTTCTGTGCGGGACACTCCTCTCATTCGCACGCACACACACAGAGAGAGAGAGAAAGAGAGCGCGCCAATCGATGCACAGCACTTTCAATAATAATAATAATGATTTATTCAGAAAATTCAATGATGATTTACAGCAGCGGGAATGCAGAGAGCTGTAATCGGGCCATAAAAATTAGGCACGATGAAGCCTGAGCCTGACAGGTACATTTTGATTGACAGCTTTATAAAGCCCGAACCCGTTTACAGACGACATTATACAAATGTGCTCATGCACACAGCTCTATTGCCTTTTTTTTAAAGAATGAGTCATTTATATGTTTTAACATAATTTATTCGTAACAAACGTAGACTATATGCCACTAGGAAGTTGGAACAAAAAAATAAAGTACGTCCTCTGTAACTTAGGTATACATACCCTTAGCCATTAAATTGGCTAACACCAATGAAAAGAAATCTTGCTTAACAAATCAAATTAAAATAAACTCTAAATGATGACGGGTATTTTGGCAATAACGAAATTAAGATAAAGGCTGTGCAAGATTTGTTTTGCCACTTCTCTTCACAATCTGGCATTAAGGTGAAGCTGAATTTTGAAAGAATTTTGCCAAGCCTGTATACTCTGTCTACATTATGGTTATATGGTTTTATTAATATTCATTTATAATATAAAAATCCTTTACTCACCAAGATTAGGCTAAGTGTTTTTGTGGAGGAACATTATTAAATCCACAAGCTTTAGCGCAGTCCTGCTTTCATGGGGTCCAGCAGCACTGAACACCGTTTCACTGCTACTCCTACAGGCCGAGATGCAGAGTTCTGATCTGGCTAACTTTGCAAGTTTTGGGTAGGATTGTTTTGTTTTGACCGCCGTCAAAATTTGCTTTTTTACTACTTCGTTATCATTTGCTTCACCTTTTGCAGGGATGGATTTTGATTTTTTCGGGTCCCTCCGGGTTTGGGCAAAGATTTTCAGCTCTAATGCAGACCTCTAGTTCATATTTACCACGTGACATCTCCCTTCTGTTCAGTCGAAACTGGAAATACTGCCAAACTGCAGGTCACTTTGGAGCCCGACTCGTCACCTCACCTCTCCTCTTCCCTCCCCCTCTCTCTCACTCTCCCCCTCCCTCTCTCCTCCAAACTGTCCTATGCTGACAATCACACATACGTTTTTGTAGGCATTAAATAAAGGATATTTAATATTTTATGATCCAAGTCCTCATGGAGGCCCAGCGGGAGGACCGAGAGCAAATCTGGAGTCTGCTGTCCCAGGAGATCCGGCCTTCTCCGACATCTGCCGCCCACCCTCACAATTTCGGGGGAAAAAGCATAGAGTAGAGTTAGCAGTTAACCTGCACCTCAAACACCCGCTAATTCTGGGAACTAATTGGCCTGGATTTAATAGATTATTGGGAGTCTTATGTGCGGGTGTTTCTTGGAAGAAGAAATCACCGGATAGGGGGCGTGTCGCTCAGCTCGGGGAATCCCAGGCGGTGACGTAACGCGCTGACTCGGGAAGGGCTGGGAATTTCCCAGTGTAAGGACTTTCCCTTGGAGCAGTGGCGTGATGATACGCTAAAAAATGCACTCAAAAGAGTGCAGGTTATTGATAGGAAAATCCTCCAGCCTGATCGACCCCTCTCCTACCCGTATTTTGTGGTTATTAATGATAGGGTGTATCGAGTGACCCAAGACACTCAAACAAAAGAAGATACAACCCAGTTATTAGTACCAAAGAACCGCCGGGAAATGCTTTTTCAGGCAGCTCATTCTAATCCTATGGTCGGATATTTAGGTCAGGCGGCCACACTAATTCGCCTCATGACCCGATTCTTTTGGCCAGGCATTCACGGTGACGTCAGCAGATGGTGCACTGCGTGCCGTAAATGTCAGTTGGTAAATCCACCGGCCACCACAAAAGCGCCGTTGCGCCCATTACCAATTATGGAGATCCCCTTCGAGAGAATTGGTATGGATCTCATCGGGCCATTAGAGCAATCCGCACGTGGGCACCGGTTTGCATTAGTTCTGTTGGATTATGCAACCCGATACCCGGAAGCAGTGGCGCTCCGTAACATCTCAGCAAAGAGTGTTGCGGAGGCGCTGTTTCGGATAATCTTCCGAGTAGGAATCCCCAAGGAGATTCTCACGGATCAAGGCACCGCGTTCATGTCAGGCACGATGCGCGAGCTTTACAGATTATTGGCCGTTAAATCTATTCACACCAGCGTCTATCACCCACAAACAGACGGGCTGGTGGAAAGATTTAATCTCACGCTTAAATCAATGATCTGTAAATTTGTTCAGGAGGATGTGAAAAATTGGGATAAGTGGTTGGAGCCTTTATTATTTGCTGTGCGGGAGGTTCCCCAAGCCTCCACGGGGTTTTCCCTATTCAAGCTTCTCTACGGCAGACAGCCCAGAGGGGTTTTGGATGTTGTTAGAGAGGCTTGGGAGGACGAGCCTTCAAAAAGTAAAAATGAAACTCAATATATCCTGGACCTTAGAGCAAAACTCCACACACTGGGGCGGCTCTCTACAGAGAATTTGCTTAAGGCCCAGGATGACCAACGCCGGCGATATGATAAGGGCACTAAACTTCTTAAATTTTCACAGGGAGATAAAGTACTTGTACTGCTACCCACTTCCAGCTCTAAATTAATCGCCAAGTGGCAAGGGCCGTTTGTGGTCACACGACGAGTCAGTGATATCGATTACGAGGTGGTCGAACGCTCTGGTTACGGGGGGCGATCATCTCTCAGCAAGCCAGCTCCTCGACATCCGGCACCTCCAACGTGAGTACTCAGACGTGTTTTCGCCCCTGCCTGGTCGTACTAACCTGATCCAGCACCATATCGAGACTGAACCGGGCGTGGTCGTTAGGACCTGGCCGTATTGCCTACCTGAACACAAGAAAAAAGTGATTCAGGAAGAATTGAGTAATATGTTGAAAATGGGAGTAGTAGAAGAATCCCACAGCGACTGGGCCAGCCCGATTGTCTTAGTACCTAAGACAGACGGCTCGGTCCGGTTCTGTGTGGATTATTGCAAGGTGAATGCTGTGTCGAAATTTGACGCTTAACCAATGCCGCGTATTGACGAGTTGCTCGAACGGTTAGGTGCTGCTCAATATTACTCGACATTGGATTTAACAAAGGACTATTGGCAGATCCCCTTATCTCCAATATCCCGCGAAAAAAACAGCCTTCACTACGCCGTTTGGATTGCACCAATTTGTGATGCTTCCGTTCGGGCTGTTCGGGGCACCGGCAACGTTTCAGCACCTAATGTATAAAATACTCGGCCCTCACACAGCATATGCCGCTGCTTATTTAGACTACATCATCATTTACAGTATTGGCAGCGGCATATGCAACATCTGAGAGCGGTATTGTCAGCTCTGAGACGGGCCGGGCTCACGGCCAACCCACGGAAGTGTGCAATTGGGCGAGTGGAGGTAAGGTATCTGGGAGAGTATGTGGAGATGTAAGCGTGATCGAACACCCAATAAGGGGGGAGAGCATGCTAGGAGCCCGGCGGCTAATCAGCAGGTCAATAAGAAATGATAAATAACACCTGTCTTTCTAGTGAATGGGCCGGAGAGACTCCCTTCTTAAGGAGAACAGGAGGAGCAGTCGGGAGTGGAGAGAGCACACACATGCACAGACACAGCCTGCAAGTGGTGTGCATTAAATAATAAAATATATTGCTTACCTGATATCACCGACCCTGTCTTCTTCTTCCCACACAACAACGAACTTTACTACAATGACCAAAATTACTTTTGTGATCAATTATGTAAGAAACGCTGAAAACAGGACACTTTCAATTTACCATAACTTCTATGTTAAGCGGCTTTGACACAGTTTACATTGTAAAAGCACTAGATATATAAAGATGAATTGAATTGAATCATCTTAAATGTGTACATGTTAATGGACCAAACAAAATATGATCTGATTTATTTTACATTTAATGTGCATCAAAATTACAGTGTGTGTAGCCAATGTTTCCAGTGTCTTTCCACTTTTCAGCTTTTGATGAGAGTTTTTAAGACTTAATGAAAACTAATGTTTTATTTATTTCAGACCTAATTGAAGAGAATGAGGGGATTAAGAGGAGAAACATCATGTCAAAATTGAGGAAAAAAATCATTTACAGACTGAAGTTATTTTAAAAAGGAGGGACAAGAATTGTTTCACCTGCACTCAGTGTGGAAAGAGTTTTGGAAGAAAAGACGATCTTAAGATTCACATGAGGATCCACACTGGAGAGAAAACATTCACATGCACTCAGTGTGGGAAGAGTTTCAGCCAATCATCAAACCTTAATTTACACATGATGATTCACACTGGAGAGAAACCATTCACATGCACTTAGTGTGGGAAGAGTTTCATCCACTCATCATCCCTTAATCAACACATGAGGATCCACACTGGAGAAAAAACATTCACATGCACTCAGTGTGGGAAGAGTTTCATCCACTCATCATCCCTTAATCAACACATGAGGATCCACACTGGAGAAAAACCATTCTCATGCACTCAGTGTGGGAAGAGTTTTGACTGCTCATCACATCTTAATAAACACATGAGGGTCCACACTGGAGAGAAACCATTCACATGCACTCAGTGTGGGAAGAGTTTCAGCCAATCATCATCCCTTAATAAACACATAAGGAACCACACTAGAGAGAAACCATTCACATGCACTCAGTGTGGGAAAAGTTTCAGCCAATCATCATTCCTTAATCTACACATGATGATTCACACTGGAGAGAAACCATTCTCATGCACTCAGTGTGGGAAGAGTTTTGACTGCTCATCACACCTTAATAAACACATGAGGGTCCACACTGGAGAGAAATCATTCACATGCACTCAGTGTGGGAAGAGTTTCATCAACTCATCATCCCTTAATCAACACATGAGGATCCACACTGGAGAGAAACCATTCACATGCACTTCATGTGGGAAGAGATTCAGCCGATCATCATCCCTTAAAAAACACATGAGGATCCACACTAGAGAGAAAACATTCATATGCACTCAGTGTGGGAAGAGTTTTAGCCAATCATCATTCTTTAATCTACACATGATGATTCACACTGGAGAGAAACCATTTCCATGCTCTCAGTGTGGGAAGAGTTTCATCCGCTCATCATCCCTTAATCTACACATGATGATCCACACTGGAGAAAAAAAACCTTTCACCTGCACTCAGTGTGGGAAGAGATTCATCCACTCATCATCCCTTAATCAACACATGAGGATGCACACTGGAGAGAAACCATTCACATGCACTCAGTGTGGGAAGAGTTTTGACTGCTCATCACACCTTAATAAACACATGAGGGTCCACACTGGAGAGAAACCATTCACATGCACTCAGTGTGCGAAGAGTTTCAGCCAATCATCATCCCTTAATCTACAAATGAAGAGCCACACTGGAGAGAAACTATTCACTTGCACTTAAGCCGCGGTCACACTGGACTTTTCTCCCATAGACTTCCTCTCATACAAACATGAAGGCTTCAGACTGGAAATACAAGTTTGTGCGTCAAGTTTTGCAGTTCACTGCCTTAAAAAGTTCAAGCTTGGTGAACTCTGACCTGCGAAATCACATCACCTGACTGTGTAGGACCAATTGAAGATCAAAACAAAACCTCTCTGGACAGAAATTTAAAATATGGACCAATCGCTCACTTTTTTTAATGTCTAATCATCTTGTTTAATCCCGTCCCTTTTTGCAGTGCTGTACAACAGAGTTTTGCTTGCTCAAACTCTAATGTGACCGCAGCTTCGGTGTGGGATGAGTTTCAGCAACTTCTCAGACCTTAATCAGAATCAGACTGAGCTTTATTGCCAGGTATGTTCGCACATACAAGGAATTTATTTTCGTGACAGAGCTTCTACAGTGCAACAGAATTATAGAGACAGGACAATAAGCAGATAATAAATATATATAAAAAAACAGTAAGTAGTGAATGCAAATATTCAAATAGACAAGTGTATGTAGAGCTATATTACTATTACTATATTCCTATATACAACGTTATATGTGCAACTGTATGTGCAAATTGGCATGTAAAGTGTGTTGTTAAAAAGTGTAAATGTGAGTGTATAGCAAGTAGTGATGTTGGTTCCACAGTTATTATTATCAAGTGTTCGTGAGATGGATTGCCTGAGGGAAGAAACTGTTTTTGGGTTGGGCTGTTCTGGTGCGCATTGCTTTGTATCGTCAACCAGATGTTAAAAGTTCAAAGAGGCAGTGTGCTGGGTGTGAGGGGTCCAGAGTAATTTTTGCAGCCCTTTTGCTCGCTCTGGATAAGTACTTCAGGAGTTTGACAGAGGAGTCCTTTGAAGTGCAGTCATTCATGTACAGGGAGAAGAGCAATGGGGAAAGAACACACCTCTAGGGGGTGCCAGTGCTGATTGTGCAGATACTGGATGAGAATTTTCCCAGCTTCACCAGCTGCTGCCTGCCCGTTAGGGAACTGTTGATCCACTGACAGACAGAGGTGGGCACAGAGAGCGGAGTTATTTTGGGCAGGATAAGTTTTGGAATGATAGTGTTAAAAGCCGAGCTGAAGTCAACAAACAAGATCCTCACATAGGCCTGGGCCTGTCTAGGAGTTGCAGAACATAATGCAGTCATATATTGACTGCATCATTCACAGACCTGTTTGCTCTGTAGTCAAACTGAAGAGAGTCCAGTGAGGGTTCAGTGATGTCCTTCAGGTGGGCCAGCACTAGTTTTTCAAAAGACTTCGTGACCACCGATGTCAGCGCCACCGGTCTGTAGACATTTAGTCCTCTAAGTTTAGGTTTCTTTGGGATGGGGATGATGGTGGAGCGTTTGAGGCAGAAGAGCACATCACACAGCTCAAGTGATCTCTGTTGAAGATCAGGGTGAAGATGGGGACCAGTTGGTCAGCACAGGATTTTAAACAGGCTGGTGTTATAAAATCTGGGCCTGTTGCTTCTTTCCTCTTGTTTCCTGAAGACCTGGCACACATAATCTTCACTGAACTGAAGTGCAGGTATGGGGGAGACGGGGGTGATGGAGGTGTTAATAGTGGCGTGAAGAGCAGTTCAGAGTGGGTATGGGGGTTTTTCTTAAACCAGCAGTAAAACTCATTCAGGTTGTTTGCAAGTCATTTGTTGTCTACAGTGCTGGGAGATGGTGTCTTGTAGTTTGTGATGTTTTTTAAGCTTTTCCACACGGATGCTGAGTCGCTGGTAGAGAACTGTCTCCTTGGTTTCTCAGAACGTGACGTGGTTGTCTAACTTTTACAGTGAACCACGGTTTGTCGGTGTATGTGAGTTGAGTCCTGGGAGGAATGCACCGGTCTTCACAGAAAATGATATAAGATGTTATAGTCTCTGTGAGCTCATCCAGATCGTTTGCAGCAGCTTCAAAAACACTCCAGTCAATGAGGTCGAAAAAAACACATGAAGACCCACACTGGAGAGAAACTATTCACATGCACTCAGTGTGGGAAGAGTTTCAACTGATCAGCAAACCTTAATGAACACATAAAGATCCACACTGGTGTGAAAGAGTATATGTGCTTTGAGTGTGAGAAGACTTTTATTACACCTCCAAATTTAAAACCACACCAGACGATTCACACTGGAGAGACTGTACAAGTGTTCAAACTGTGACAAGAGGTTTAATCAGTTAACACATCTGAAAACACAAAAGAGGATTCACACTGGAGAGAAACCGTACAGATCTGATCAGTGTCTACAGAGTTTCGCTCATTCGAAGAAACACATGGACAAAAAGTTTCACACGTCATGAACGCAGCAAAACATTTTCTCATTACACAGGATTTTTCATGTCTAAATAATGTTTAAAAAGGCTGAGTGACGGTATACTGTTTTCCAACTCTGCAGTAGGTGGGGTTGTAAATGTGTTGCGCTCCTCGAGTTTACTGTAAACACAATGATGGCGCCTAAGAGAAGAACAGTTTCATAAACATCTAGCAAACAGCACCTCTGCGGATACATCTGTGCTCCACTCTCCAGTGTATTTATGTAGCTAATGTTGTGGATACTGTTCTCTGTCTGACTCCGTGAATGAGAAACAAATCACTGGAAAGACACCGCACATTAAAAAAGGTGGAGCTCCAGGACAGCTAGTTTGCTGCATACTGGGGCCCCTCGTTTAGAAAGCCCATTCAATTGTCCTGAGTTGCATCTTTTAATAGTAAAGTTTCCTTACTTTTAGGTTCAAGATTTTTTCTAGTTTACTACATTCACTTTAAGTAGAACACAAACTTGATTAATATTTTATGATTTAGGCAGAGCGACAGGTATTAAGTTTTATAATATTAAGACACTTTGATGGAAAGGGAAAATAAGACAGCAGTATTACTAAGTCTGGATGCCGAAAAAGCCTTTGATCGGGTCAACTGGGAATTTCTTTACCAAACTTTGGTTAGATTCGGCTTCAATAAACATTTTGTAAATATAATTAGATCTCTTTACCAACAACCTACAGCTAAAATAAAAATTAATGGGTCATTATCTCCATCGTTTAGTTTACAAAGAGGAACTAGACAGGGCTGTTGCCTTAGTCCCACATTATTTGCTGTTTATATTGAACCCCTGGCCCAGGCAATCCGTCAACATGAACAAATACAAGGCATTACAATAGGACATAAAGACCATTTAATTAGTTTATTTGCAGACGATGTCTTGATCCATTTAACAGATCCTGAGACTTCCCTCCCTGTACTGATGGAGTTCCTCGACGAATTTAACTTCTTTGCTGGGTACAAACTAAATATTGCGAAGACACAACTTTTGTCATTTAATTACAAACCTTCTGAGGAAATCAGACATAGATATAATTTAAAATGGGACATGAAAGAAATAAAATATTTAGGGGTGATTATTACAAAAAACCTGAGTAGTCTGTACGGTGCAAACTATAATGTGATTAACCAGAGTATTAAAAGCGATATGGAACGGTGGTCTACCTACCCATTGGATTTTGCTAGTAAGATAAACGTCATCAAAACAAACATATTACCTAGACTACTATACCTATTTCAAGCCCTGCCAATAGAGATACCTAAACATCAGTTTATAATCTGGAACAAACTTATTTCCAGGTTTATTTGGGATGGAAAGAAGCCTAGAATAAGATACACAACACTCCAGTTGTCCAAGCAAAAAGGAGGAATGGCCCTGCCGAATCTCAAAGATTATTTTTACGCAGCTCAGTTCCGTCCACTTTTTCTTTGGTGTAACAACAATTATTTTGCCAGATGGAAAGAAATTGAGACATATACGGCGGGTTATCAGATTCAGTCAATTCTTGGAGAAAAAGAAATCCCTTCGGTAGTCAAAAGTCAATTGGATTCAATAACCTCTGGAGCAGTGGAGTTTTGGTTTGAGTTTACTAGACAATTTAAATTAAGCAAAGACCAAAAAGTTCTTCGATGGATAGCCTTTGACACTCAATTTAAACCAGGTGAAAGCGACGCCACATTTAAGCAATGGGCAACAAAAGGCATTAGTGCAATATGTACAGTATTGGAAAACAAGGAATTACAGACTTTCCAAACACTCAAAGAAAAACTTTCTCTTACTAATCGAGACTTATTTAGGTTTATACAATTCAGAGATTATTTTTACAGAGAAATAAAAATGGAAACGTCACACGAAATTAGCCCAGTTGTAAAGATTATGATGAATGCTTACAAATCAGATAGTAAATGTGCAAAAATAATCTCTAGTTTTTACGTAAGTATTATGGAAAGTAAGACCAACTCAACATTATACCTTAAATCAAGGTGGGAAAAAGAATTGAATGTAGAAATTCTACCAGAGGTATGGTTAGATATGTGCGAAATTCAACATTCCTCCACAAGCTCACAACAACTGAGGGTATTCAATTGGAAGAATTTGGTACGATTCTTTATAACACCTAAAATCAGCAGTAAAGCTTCTTCTACACCCCAGCAATGTTGGAGAGAATGTGGCTGCTTAGAAGCACACCATACACACATTTTTTGGGGATGCGAAAAACTGAAGCCATTTTGGAATGATGTGCACTTAACCTTAACAAAGGTGCTTGGGTATGAGATTCCATTTACATGTATTGTCCTGTACTTGGGTCATATTTCACTGGTTACACTTCAGGAGGATCGATACCTGGTAAAAATACTCCTTACAGCAGCCAGGAAAACCATAACCAGAAGCTGGTATAAGCCTGATTCACCTAAACAACAACAATGGCTTGATGTAATTCAGGAAATAAGGACATTGGAACATATGACTGGTGTGTTACGTTTGAAGGTGGACTTGTATGCCAAAAGATGGCAAAAATGGATAATTTACATTGACAAATCATTAGGGACTGGCTC